AGCAGCAGCAGCAGCAGCAGCAGCAGCACAAGATGCTGCAGCAGCAGGAGACACAGCAGCAGCAGCAGCAGGAGACACAGCAGCAACGGAGCAGCAGCAGCAGCAGGGAGATTATCTAACGCTTTTCTTCCCCGAGAACTCTACCCAGGAAGAGATCAAACTGCAAATCATAAAGTACATAAACCCTAAACCCTGACAAGCGTTTGTTTAGGATTTAGGGTTTAGGGTTTAGGGTTTAGGGTTTGCGCACGGGTTTAAGCCGCGGGAAAAGACTTGATGAGGGTTTACTGTTGAGGGTTTAGGGTTTTATCTCAGCAATGCAGTGCTTGATTAAGCTAAAGGGAACACCTCCGATGCAGGGTTTAGGGTTTATAGTTTAGGGTTTAGGGTTTAGGGTTTAGGGTTTAGGGTTTGTTGGGGTGCATGTACACCTCAGGCTCGCCTACCCCTCTTCTCTTCGCGTTGGAAGCAAAGAATTTCTTGATCAGCTTTTGTTTGAATATCCCTCTGCTCTGATTCGCTTCTTTTCTCGCCGTGAGCTCCTCTAAACCCTAATTTAGGGTTTAGGGTTTAGGGTTTGGGGTTGGGGGTTGAGGGTTGAGGGTTAGCAGGCATTCTTCTGGGTCTAGAGCCGAGGGTTTCGGGCTTGAGGTTTAGGGTTTAGGGTTTAGGGTTTTGCGGTTCTGGGTTTGAGACGTAGGGATAGAGGCATCGGTTAAAAGCTGTAGGCTTTACGGTTTAGGGTCTAGGGTTTAGGGTTTAGGGTTTTTCTTTTCTCGCCGTGAGCTCCTCTAAACCCTAATTTAGGGTTTAGGGTTTAGGGTTTGGGGTTTTGGGTTGGGGGTTGAGGGTTGAGGGTTAGCAGGCATTCTTCTGGGTCTAGAGCCGAGGGTTTCGGGTTTGAGGTTTAGGGTTTAGGGTTTAGGGTTTTGCGGTTCTGAGTTTGAGACGTAGGGATTAGAGGCATCGGTTAAAAGCTGTAGGCTTTACGGTTTAGGGTCTAGGGTTTAGGGTTTAGGGTTTAGGGTTTAGGGTTTGTGCGATGCTGCAGCGGCCGACATAACCCCTGTGCCTTCTGGGGTTTTAGTTGCTGCGATGAACCTCCCTATATTTGATGTCTATGATCCTGAGATAGCATCTGCCTTCAATGTATCCCTAAACCCTAAACCCTAAACCCTAAACCCTAGCTGATTGTTTTCAATTGTCTCCCGAGCTCCACATACACCCTAAGGCCGTCGCAGTTCTGTAATGCTCACTTTGCACTTCCTACCTAGTCTCTGCGGCCTAGGATTTAGGGTGTAAGGTCTAGGGTTTAGGGTTTAGGGTTTAGAGTTTAGGGTTTAGGGTTTGGGGGGCGTGCAGGTGGAGCCTCCTCGTCAATTGCTGGTGCGCCCAAAGGGTTTTCGCGAAGAGTTTGCGATGAACGATCCTGAGGAGCAGGTGATATATTTGTTTTATTTGTTTCTTTTTATCTCTTTTGTCCTTCGTTCCTTTTGTATCTGTCTGTCTCCTAGGGTTTAGGGTTTAGGGTTTAGGGTTTGAGCGTTCATCCCACCGCTGCTGCTCTTCGCGTGCATTTGCTGTCTCTTTTGCAATTGCTGGTGCTGCTTTTCCCTTTTGTCTCCTTTTATAGAAGGTTTAGGTCTAGGGTTTAGGGTTTAGGGTTTAGGACTCAGGGTTTTTTAGGGTTTAGGGTTTAGGGTTTAGGGTTTAGGGTTTAGGGTTTAGGGTTTAGGGTTTAGGGTTTTGTGTTGCTGCTGCTGTTCAGATGCGATTGATCAGCACACTCGAAGATAAACCCTCTCCTGTCACCAACTTAAACACTCTTACTGCTCCATCTGTACGTCCTAGGGTTTAGGGTTTAGGGTTTAGGGTTTTAGGGTTTAGGGTTTTGGACCTGGCTGCGCAGCGTGGGTTTCGAATAACTTGAGGGTGGGATATTAGGGTTTACGGTTTAACCCGTACGTATGAAGGTTTAGAGTTTAGGGTTTAGGGTTTAGGGTTTAGGGTTTAGGGTTTGTGCGTGCAGATATTCACTGAGCTTCGCCCCGTCGCCTTCTTCTTTGGGGGCTCCGAGCCCTCGTTCGCTGAGGAGGCTGCGGTTTGTCTCTTGCCCCTTTAAACCCTCGCATTTGTCTTTAGAATATAATTCAGGGTTTGGAGTTTAGGGTTTAGGGTTTAGGGTTTAGGGTTTAGGGACCTTGGGTATTTTCGGTGTATATACACTGCACTGGCGTCTCCTTGACCAGGCTAAACCCCTTTTTACTCCCCTCTGGGCGTGCTTAGGGTTTAGGGTTTAGGGTTTAGGGTTTAGGGTTTGTATGCAGTTCTCGGAGGCGGCTGCAGCCTGGGGCAAGTCTATTTTATTTTGTTTGTCTTCTTCGCCTTCAATTCTTCATAAAAGAGCAATCAGTTATTTGGGTATTCAGGAAGAAAGAGACCCGCAGGTATACTTGGGGTGTATAGGCACCTATTCCTTACCTCTGCGGTGTATAGGCAGCTCTTTATGAAAGTATAAATACATATATATATATATATATTATCTGTTTATTTATTTTTATTTATTCATTTATTTATTTTTATATTTATATATTTATTTTTATGTTTATTTATTATTTATTTATTTATTTGTTGCTGCTTAGGTAGTACTTGTGCAGCATATCAGCAACCCGAAGGAGACAACGAAATTTATTTGTTCCCAAGTGGAGACAAAAGAAGACATCCTCAGCTGTCTCTGTAAGACACCATCTGTCGTTTTGCTGCTGCTGCTGCTGCTGCTGGTGTTGCTGTTGCTGCTATTGCTTTTGCTGTTGTTGCTGCTGGTGTTGTTGCTGCTGTTGCTGCTGCTGCTGTTGTTTGTCTGAGTGCGTATGTCTCTCTCCTTCTTGCTGTTTGTCTCTCTTGCTGCTGAGGTGTCTCTACAACTTTCTTTTTTCTGCTGTCTGTCTCTTGCTGTCTCTGTTTTATTTATTTGTGTCTCTCTTTGTCTTTTGTCTGTCTCCTTCTCAGCGAGCTTTCGCGAGGGTCGGCTGTCTCCTTTCTATAAGTCAGCACCACCCCCCAAAGTACAAAAGGGGCCGGTATACGTAAGCAGCTGATCGGGGTTTAGGGTTTAGGGTTTAGGGTTTAGGGGTTTCTGGACCTTAGGGTTTAGGGTTGGTTGCTTCTCGTAGTGTTTACGGATGCCTTTCTGCTTTTGACTGCTTGTTATTTGTATTTCTATGGGTTTAGGGTTTAGGCTTTTACAGTTTAGGGTTTTACGTTTTAGGGTTTAGGGCTTAGGGTTTAGGGTTTAGGGTTTAGGGTTTTTGGATCTAGGAACTGGTGGCTTCGCGGTTCAAGTCGGTGGTGCTGGACAGCAATAAAGATGTGCTGCTGCTAATTTACAGCCCTTCTTGCCCTCACAGCGCTATCTTCATGCCAGTCTTTGAGGAGGTCAGCCAGGGTTTAGGGTTTAGGGTTTAGGGTTTAGGGTTTGGGGTTTAGGGATTGGGGTTTAGGGTTTGGGGTTTAGGGGTGAACTGTATCGAAACCCTACTCTACCAGCTTGCAGCTAGCCGTACAAATGCATCAAGCTAGCTAGCTACCTACCTACCTGCTAGCTAGCTAGCTACCGGTACAACTGGCTAGCTAGCTAGCTAGCTAGCTAGGTGTTACTATTTGTGTGTGGGCTTCAGCTAGCTGCTCGCGAAGCAAACGAAGAGTCGCTGCTAATCGCTCGGTTAGACGGCACAGCAAATGATGTCCCTGGGCTTACAGTACCAGCAGCAGCAGCAACAGCAGCAGCAGCAGCAGGAGAAGGAGAAGGAGAAGGAGGGGAAGCAGCAGCAGCAGAGGAGGAAGCAGCAGCAGGAGAAGCAGCAGGAGAAGCAGCAGCAGCAGCAGCAGCAGCAGCAGCAGCAGCAGCAGCAGCACCTCCTCCTGATGTACTCAGCACCCACGGCTACCCGGCTGTTGTCTTCTTTCCTAAAACAACAAAAAAGCAGCAAAACCCTCAACCGATAGTTTATACAGGCCCTCGGTCTATGAAGGCGCTGAAGAGCTTTATAGCT